TTTATTTACATAATTGTTCAAAGTATCCTCTTGTAATCCTTTTTTACTTTTTTAAGGTCAATATTGTTTTTCCCTCTTCCTGTTTAAAATTTCATACATAGGAGTTTTCATTCTTTTCTGGGCAGTCTAGGTTTACTTAATAAAGATTTTAGTTTTGATTTTTTTTCCAAGAGTTAAATTGAAGTTTAAAACTTTTTCCGAATATTTTTCTCTATATTTTATTTATTTTACTTAGATGCTTATTATTTATTCCATTTGGTTGGTTGATTTAACTTTTCCAGTTTAAGAAACATTTGTCATTTTGTATTAAAAAATCCCATCTAAACAGTTATGATCACTTTATTTTACTTGCAAATTTGCTTATTAAATATGTTCATGTTTTATATAAAATTTATAAGGATTTTGGTTATTATTTCTTCATATGTACTTTCCAGGTTTTTCTTTCTTTGTTGAGATTTCTTTTATATGTATGCTGCTGTTGTTGTTTGGTATTGTAAGAGGATCTTTTAGTTTCTTCTCAATTTCTGTTATTTATTTTCATATGTTTCTCAAACAGAATATCTTCACATATGCTGCTGGAAACTTGTATTGTTTTTCAGTAAATGTACTTTAATTTTCCAATGTTTCTTCATTTTTAAATGCTTTCTATCTCTTCACTGGTATTTTCCACTTGATAAGATACTGTTTTTATATTTTGCTTTATTTCTTTAGAAATGATTACCTTTAGAAATATTTCAATGTATTTGTAATAGTTTACTTGATGTCTTCATTGAGTTAGTCCTACATCTGGGCTTTTTTTTTTTGGTGGGGGGGGTCCGGTCGTGGGGCCTGAACTCTGGGCCTGGGCGCTGTCCCTCAGCTTTTCAGCTCAAGGCTAGCACTCTACCACTTGAGCCACAGCACCACTTCTGGCTTTTTTTTCTGCTTATGTGGTGCTGAGGAATCGAACCTAGGGCCTCATACATGCAAGGCAAGTGCTCTACCACTGAGCCACCTTCCCAGACCATCTGGGCTTTCTTATAGACAATTTCTGTTGACTATTTTCTTCTTTATGTTTCTCTTTCTCTTGGAAAAAGAGGCACAGGCTTCTCATTTTTTGTTGTTTATATTGCTTATTGTTCAGTGACTTTCATGAATAATTATGGTAAGGGTTTTCTTTGTTGTATGTGGGTTCTGAAGTTTGTTTGGTTGTCCAGTCATTATGTGATTAAACAGATTTTTCTGAAGTGTTTTCAACCAATAAGTTTCTCAGCCTTTGTTGACTGGTTCTCAGAAGTATGTAGGGCTTTCTTTCTTTGCTCTGGCAGGTAGATTACACCCTTGCCTTCCCTTTCTGCTTCCTACTTATACAGAATCTCAGTGTCAGCCAGATATGAGATATTTGTGCCTTCTTGGCTCTTTCCTGACTTGTACAGAATCTCAGTGTCAGCCAGACAGGAGACATTCGTGCGTTCTTCACTCTTTCATGGAATGAATGTAGTCTTAAATGTGGGTATGGCCTTTTAGACTCATGAAGATGTCATTGCTTTAAAAATTACTTGTGGACACCATTCTCCAGCTTTTCCTTTTTAAGTTTTTAGGCAGCTTCTTTGTGATGGTGGTGTTACCATCTCAATCTTCCTACCTTATTGAATAATAGTTGCTCATTTTTTAGTGGTGATTCAGGCCAGATAAAGACAAACTTGGGAATGGAGTTATAGGAATGGTAGTTGTCTGAGAGTGAGGGTTTTGGGAGATCCAGACTTGTTCCGTGTCTTTCACAGTGGCTGCTGCCAGGCTGCTAATTTTCAAACTACCATGCTTGTGAGATTGAGGAATTTTCTATTGTTCAGTTAGATACAGAAATAGGACACATTCAAACAATGAAAAACTGGTTGATATCACCCTATTTTCTAAAAGAAATAATCCCCAAATTGTCCCAAGTCTTTGTTCAACTTCTTCAGTTTTGAAAAAGCTAATATTGCCTGTGTTCCCTTTAGTTTTTTGGAGCAACAGGTATTCAGAGGTACTTATTCTGTGATTCCAGGCTTCTTTCCTGTTTGCTTTAGGATCATGGTATTTCCTCTTAACTCAAAATATTAAGGATAGCACTTTTAAACTTTTGTTTTCAAAGTGTTTCCCGCTTCTAAGTTAGTGTTTTTGGGTATATTTGGTTATTTTTAAGGTAATAATCTTGTTGTATACTCCAAACTGGCCTTGAATTTGTAATTCTCTTTCTCAGTCTCATGAGTGTTGGGATCACAGTTGTATTCTATTGTGCCGGACAAGAATTCTGTTCATCTATCTTGTATTCCTTACTACTCATATGAAAAGCTGATTAGGATCTTTGAGTGTTTGGATTGAGTTTGTTGATGGTGAGATTACTAGAATAGGGAATTATTTAAAAATTTATAGGAAGGTTTAATAAAACCTAAATCTTATAGTAAAATAAACCAACCCCATATAGGTTGAAGTATTTAACATAAAATTAAGATGCAAAAGAATGTAAAAAATCAAATTTGGAAAAACTAGAGGAAAATGATATCAGTTTTATGTTGAATCATATGTGGGAGGTGCTAGGGATTGAATCATGTCAAGTAGTAGGCTGGCATGTTACCCCTGAACCTGACCTCCAGCCCATGAAATTTATTTTAAATTGAAACCTAAATATTTGAAATAAAAGAAAAACAATTGATGGCTTTACAGGATAATCATTATGTTCGCAGTATTCTTAACAATGAGATGTACAAGACGTTATGTCAAAAAACAAACTTTACAACTTTGGTGTGGGTGTGTGTCGGGGGCGTGGGTAGGGAGGGATGGGAAGGGGAAACAAAGGAGGAGGCAACAATGCTTGATGAGAAATGTACTCATTACCTTGCCCATGTAATTGTAACCCCTCTCTACGGTATTTTCACACACACACACACACACACACACACACACACACACACACACACACACAACGTGTATAAAGCTCACTTTTAGAATTGTGCGAGAGTATTGTCTCCAAAAGATGCACCTTGAATTGATTGCTACCCTCAGAGGTAGTTGACAAAAGTCAGTGCCTCTTTTCCTACTGTTTTTGTTTTTGTTTTGCAAAGCTAAGGTAGGGATCTCTTGAGGTGATGACCTTGATTGGAGTTCTTTTAGGCACATTGTTAAGCCCCAAATTAAGACAGTGAAGGAGCTGGTGAGATAAGAGTGTAAACACGCCAATAGCAGTGACTTCTTCAGCTGTTCTTGTACCTGATTGTTCCAGCCTGCCGGGTTGTGCCTGTGGCTACAGTGAATAGACCTTACCACTGATAGCCAGTAGATTCTTTTACAAATGTCACTTCGAATTAGGAATGCTCTCCCAGAAAAAAGAAGAAACATCCCCTTCCAGTAATGTCAGGGACAACCAAGACCCTCACTTACAAACTTGCAGGTTTGCTCACCTCAGAGGGTGTGGTTGTGACACAATAAAGTGATGCCTGTCAAGGCATGCCCAGGACCTGTGTAGTGATATTCAGTATGGGTTTGCCAAGCCACTGGGGATCTTTGTTACATTAGGGGAAAAGTGATGGAAACATCTTAAGAAATTGCTTCTAAGGCATCTTTCCAGATCTTCAGTAACCATCTGGTTTGACTGTGAGTGATTGTGGTACTCATATCTGGTCCTGAGATATTTTTATGTTGGTAGTGTTTCCCTGGGGCAGTTTTGAGAAAGATTTTTAGGCTATTTCTGGGCTGAGATGGAAAGATGTAGGAAGCAGAGTATCAACCTGGTTCATCCCTTTCATTTGTGTTGCTCCATATTTGTATCTGCTCTGTTGCTTAGAATTTGCTCACAGTGTCAGTCTTTGAAATCCAGCATTTAGGTAACTTTGAGATAGGCACAGAACAGACACTCAAGTATTGTTGAATGAATAAGTAATTAATTGATCTAGGAACAAAATGTGTGAAGTATCTAAAGCATTCCAGAGTGAAGTCTAGGACAGGGTCAGGTCTCTGCTCTGTAAACCGTGGTAGAACTGTACTGAGTGATGCTGGGCATGACACAGTGCATGTTACATACACCTAAAGAACATGGCTCCCATCTCAGCTCTCAGGAGCTGAGAAGCAAAGTTTGAGAAGAAGGATGTGTGTGAAATGACTAGTGCAGGACAGTGGGGAAGAAAGTTTTAAATGACCAGTCTGGTCTTGCGATTGAATGGCAGCCGTTTGAATACCAACTACTTTGCTTTGGAATCCCAATGTTTCCACTTATTCCAAGGAACCTGTGTTTTGCTGGGGAAACTCAATTCTCTCTTCAAGGTAACATTATGCTCCCAACCTTTCCTCTCATGTTTTAACTGACTAAGGAGTTTCGCTTCAACTTAGATGACAAGAAAAAAATGATCCATTAATAGAAAGTGACTGTCATGCAGTTTTTAAGCTGAAGATTATACAGTCATAACATTTGTTTCTAGAGAAATTATTTCTAGCATTTTGAATTAAGTATGCCACAGAAAAACCTTGTAGTGTGAGATTAGTGCATTTGAAAAGTTTTATCCACAGTTAACTGTCAATCTACTTAGAAAGAGCAGGGGGAATCTACTTTTTATAATGATTTATTTTTATTTTTTTTCGTAGAAGAGTTACATTGAGTATTAGTTAGGATGGGAATCCTTGATTTGTCACGGCTGGAATCTTTACCTTCTACTGTGCCCTCACAGGGTGATGACTTCCTAATCTGCAGAAAGGGCTGATAGCAGCCTTTCCAGAGCCTTTTCTCCAGAGCTGGACCTGTACTACGTGTTCAGTTGTAGTTGTTGCTTGTGTAGTTACTGTTTATATTAAGTGGGGTTGTCTCAATGGTAAGTGCTTTTTTGGGGAGTGGGGACTCAATTTCATTTAGTGTTTAATAATTTTTAGTAATGATATTTAATAGTTTATCTCTCCTTTTTACAACATATTAGCATACATGAATTGTACAAGGAGAGACTTCATTTTGACATTTTCACATATGTTTACAATGCATATTCATTTTCTTCCAGGTTGAATGTCATTTTTACAAAATTTGATGAAGTCCAAAAATCTGGAAACATGATACAGTCTGCAAATGGTAAGTAGAAAAATGACTCTATTTATGCTTTTTCCAGTTTTATGTCAATAAAATGTGTATGCTATTTCTTGAACAGCTGTTCGGATACTTTAGTATGGCTTTCTAGGTCTTAAAACTTAACCTTTATTCACCCTCTTTCCTAGGCTAGAAACTATAGAATTACTACTGACTTTGTTTCATAGACTATGTTGAATCCATTACTAATCCTGTTGACTTTAGTTTTGATATGTGTCCTGAATTTTCATCACTGCTAGTGTGTTCATGATATAGGCCTCATGGTATTTTACCTGGGTTTTCCTCAGAGCCTCTCAACCAGGATTCTTGCTGCTCTTCCTCCCTCGTGTTTACTGTCTGTTTTCACATGGCACCAGAGTAATCCTTGTAGAATGTAAATCAGGCACTGTTAATCCTCTGTCCCAAATCCATACCCAGACCACAATTCAATGCTCTCCATTGCCCACCAGGTTCTTTGTGATCTGGTGTAGGTCAGTATTCTGATGTCATAATGTTCTTTCTGAAAGTTCTCTCTCCCTACTACATTGGCCTACCTGCTAACCTTGAACCTATGATTCCTTCTTGATACCCAAGTATCATTATCCTTTCACTCACTCTACCCCCATATCTGCTTTAGCTTCCCTACATTTCAGAGGCCATCCAGAATAGCATATCCAGTGATTCAAGGGACATTCTGTGCTTATACTGCTTGATAAGTGTCCCTTTTTTGTGTTGTTGTTGTTGTTGTTTTCCTTGGGACACTTGTCTATATCCCAGACTGGCCTCAAATTCCAAGTCCATGTGTCTCTAACATCTCAAGTGCCATGATAAAATTGTAGCCTGTTGTTTTTACTGTACTTTGTGATATTTGAGGATGAGTGGGTAATTCTCATTCCAAAAAGGGAGGGAAAAGATCAGAGTGATTATTATAAGAATGAAAGTTATCAGATTCCAGCAAGAAACTTTAAACTGTGGCTATATCATTGCATCCTAGATGTTTGAGTTATAAGCTGTATAGATTATAGCACAGCCTTCAGATTTTGAATATCGAGGTTGTAGAAAATATTTGCATGCTTTGTGCACGAGGGAGAGCAGGCTGCAGAATCCAGGTCTTTGACTCACCCTCCTGAGTATATTTACCATTATTCTTACTCTAAAGGAATCAATCTTTGGACAGAGTGTTTCCTATAACTCACTCAAAATGACTAAATTGCTTTTATTAACTCCCACAAATCCTCTTCATATGGCTATGAAAATATAAACAATATAAGAAAATATAATTTACTATAACTGTGCTAGTATCAACAAACTCACTGATAATTTCCCCATATTTTATTGCAGTCTGTTTTCTTGAAGCTTTGTAACTTATTTAATTTTAATCATGGTATAATTTTCTGTACTTAATTGTGTTCTTTCTTTCATATGTACTTTTAAGATTCTGTCTTTGGCAGAAATGGGTCCAGAACTCTAACATCTTAAGTCTTGAGTCTGAGTCTCTTATGAGTGGGGTTGATGTGTATCTGGGATAGCATCACCTGCATTAATCTGCTGCACATACTTTAACTTTGGGGTATGTATTTGTGTAGTTTGTGTGGCTTCTCAGTATAAGAATTCTTGACACCAAGAAGTAGAAGTAGTGACAAGAAGCAAGTTTGTGTTTTGTTACCTTTACTGTCACTGAAACAGAATCTACCATGGGGCTCTGCCTGGAGGAATATGTATATGTATTGCTTTGTGGGTTTTACTGAGCATGACCACTACAATTTAAACACCTGGAATACCAAAGTCATGTGACATCAGCCATGTTGTAGCAACATTTTATTCTTAATGCATAATTGAATACATTACCTCCAAGTTTCCTTAAATATTTATTTTACCCACATAGTTTGTATACGTGTGTATGGATATGAAGTGTCCCCCAGAAGGCTCATTGGTTCCTAATATATGTGTTCAGCACACATTTGTCTTTGGGAAATGATGGATTCATACTTTGATGGAGTTTGCCAGAGTGAGCACCTACTTTTGAATGAAAACTGCTATGGTGACAAGAGACTCAGACTGGAAGGCTTTCTCTTGTCCTTTCTTTTTCTTCTCCCAGGACAGTGTAAAGCAGCATTTAAATATTCCCTGCCCTGTCCTTTCCATGTTTTTAAGGTTTTCATTTTTCTGAAGTTGGAGCAGGTTGAGCCTCTGAAGCTTGGCTGGGTGATGATGGTTTCTACATGTAGAGAGCTCTTTGGACTGCTACTTTGTGATTTATTTGTAGAACCTCAAGTATGGATTAAAGTGGGTAGAATAGGATAATGAGGCCCATGAAGTTCTTCCCCAGTTGTGGTGATCATCAGAACCTAGGCTTGCTTTATCTCTGTCCATCAGAAGTTTAGTGGGCAAGTAGTTGGCAGTTGCCAGTGGCCACCTTATCAGAGTGAGGATCAAGAAATAGCCTGATTATCTCAATTTTTAATAGAAGCAGGGAAATAGAAAATGAGTGTCAGCTGTAGCGCAGGTGTGTTTCTATGGAATTTTACAAGCAATAGCCTCTGAGAAAGCCTACGCTATTTTCATTGTCTTCTAAGAACAGAGAAGAAAATTTATAATTCCCATGTTTCTAAAGAGAAGGAAAAGATGTGCATCATTACATTAATTATATGTTGATGTGGGAAAGGAGCATAGGTACTACAAAGGCAATGTCTTTCCTGACATCTCCACATGCAGCTGAGTTCCACCTGCTGTTTTTAACCTGTGCTTTAAAAAAAAATTTCAATCCTTATGATTTAGTATTTTTATTTGGACAACATATGCACATATGCAGAAATCACCTACTATCAGAAGCTTCTTTTGTAATTTTATCTGATTTATAAAAACAGGATAACAAAATAACTTAGGTTATACATATATACAACACTATATAAATATGTACATATTACACAAAATATATATATACAGTATACATATTATTCAAATATATACATACTATCACAAAACAGATTGGCCAGGAGTTGGTGGCTCATGCCTGTAATCCTAGCTACTCAGGATCTAAGGATTGAGGTTTGATGCCAGGCTAGGCAGAATATAGTCCATTAGACTCTTTTGGGACTCTTTATTTCCAATGAACTGGAAAAAGTCAGAAGTGGAGGTGTGGCTCAAGTGGTAGAATGCCAGCCTTGAGTGAAAAAGCCAATTGAGAGTATATGAATAAATGAACGAATCAGCAAATAAACTGATTAAACAGTAAAGATCAATATTTTACAGTGCTATAGACTATCCACTGTGAAAGATTATTTCAGTCTACTAGCCTGGTGAATGCTGGGTTAAGTGCTTCCAAATTGACAACCTGCCAGGTGCCAGTGGTTTATGCCTGTAATCCTAGCTACTCAGAAGGCTGAGATCTGAGGATCATGGTTCTAAGTCAGCTTGGGCAAAACCCACCCTCCATGAGACTCTAATCTACAATTAACCGCTGAAAAGCTGTAATGAGGTGTGGTTCAAGTGGTAGAAATGCTAGCTTTGAGCAAAAAAAAAAAGGCTGAGGGATAGCACCCAGGCCCTGAATTCAAGCCTTCCCACCTTCCCCAACCAATGCTATAAAGTACTTTAAAAATAAAGCACAAAAAAGCTGTGATGTTGGGCTGGGAAGGTGGCTCAGTGGTGGAGCGCTTGCCTTGCATGCATGAGTCCCTGGGTTCAATTCCTCAGCACCACATAAGCAAAAAAGTAAAAAGCCGGAAGTGGTGCTGTGGCTCAAGTGGTAGAGCGCTAGCCTTGAGCTGAAGAACTGAGGGACAGCGCCCAGGCCCAGAGTTCAGGCCCCACGACCGGACCCCCCCCGCCCCCCCCCCAAAAAAGAAAAAAAAAGCTGTGATGTGACTTGATGTGACTGAAGTGGAAGAGTACCTGCATAAGTGCAAGGCCTTGAGTCCAAATCCAGTAGTGCCAATTACAAAACAAACCCCCTCCCCCTAAAAAAAGACTGGGCACTGGTGGCTCACATCTGTAATTATAGCTACTTAGGAGGCTGAAATCTTAGGATTGTGGTTCAAAGCCAGCCCAGGCAGAAAAGTCTGTGAAATTCTTATCTTCAGTTAAGCTTCCGCCCTCCTCCCACCCCCAGATGGAAGTGGAGCTGTGGTTAAGTGGTAGAGTACTAACCTTGAGCAAAAAAGTTCAGAAGTAGTGCCTGGGCCCTGAGTTCAAGCCCCAGGTAGAAAAAAAGAATGTTTATTTAATTTGGTGCTGGTCCTGGGGCTTGAAGTTAGAGCCTGGGCACTATCCCTGAAAAGTTTTTCTGTTTGTTTGTTTGTTGTTGTTGTTTTCAATTATCTTTTAAGTAGTTGTATAAGGAAGGTATAATTTAACAAAGAAGTGTGTGAATACAAATGCATCTTGATCTGTGTCATCCCCTTCAACAATCTCATCCTCCTTTAACCCAGCCCTTTCCTTACATTTCTCAATTTTGTGGTATATACAATTAATTCTTTTTTTTTTTTTTTGGGTCCGGTCGTGAGGCCTGAACTCTGGGCTTGGGCGCTGTCCCTCAGCTCTTCAGCTCAAGGCTAGCACTCTACCACTTGAGCCACAGTGCCACTTCCGACTTTTTTCTTTTTGCTTATGTGGTGTTAAGGAATCGAACCCAGGGCCTCAGGCATGCAAGGCAAGCGCTCTACCACTGAGCCACCTTCCCAGCCCTACAATTAATTCTTGATTGCATTAACACCCCCACTTCCCCCACCTTCATTGCCTACCTCTCTCTCCCCTTGGCCCCACTACCCCTTCTAAGTACTTTGCCCATTTCTTGGTGCTTATTTTGTTGGGCATAGACTTAGTCTTTCTTAAACATTGTACTATTTAAGCTCTCCATAGCATTTATCATAATCCATAGCATTTATTATAACTGCTTGTATACTACTCAGCCTGTTTACTTACAGATTTATAGGTACATTCTATCTACCACTGAGAGAAACCATACAATCTTGGTTTCTCTGTGTGTGGTTTATTTTGTTATTTAT